GACAGCATGAACGCCACTGGCATCGATTAGCCGCCATTTATTGCAACGTCTCCAGCCAAGCATAGACGGGGTCACGGGGACCCCATCCTGAAGTCGCACAACACCAACAACACCCAAACTCTTCGTGATCTCTTTCACGCCTTTTTGCCAAGTCATGTGCTGTCCACCTCGCGGTTTGCGCCATGAATGGTTTACCATGAATGGTGTACAAGTGTATGTTGGTTCGGTTTGCAACAGCAATTGGATACCCGCAGGTGTATGGATTGAAGATGGTTCGCAAGACAGGGCGAGTAAAAATGCGAATGTTTCGACAGAGCAGTGACCACCTTCATATAGGTGATGTAGATAATGCGCAAATATGCAACAGTGAAGCAGTTAGATCGGTTTCATTCAGCCACTTCTCGCTCAATGGAAATATATAACAACTGTTCATCGTGACCCACTCGATGAAGATACATTATATAGACTTCAGGTGCTACTATAGGAATCTCGCGTTTCATGTCCATAGGCCTCGCAGAAAAGCCATTTAGTTATCCAACATGGGTAGCTCATGCGGACTTCCGCTACAGATCCGTCAGTAACAGTGTTGCAAATAAAGTCCTGTAACAACTTAGCAACTGGAGGAGCTAGACTGGAGAACCAAGACTATTGTCAGTGTTGTCCCACATTACCCGTGTGCCACCAAGACGAGCGGAGACACTGCAAAACAGGTTGCTGTGAAAAGGAGACTAATGTCTATGAATGGCTCGTGGCTTTCTACCACACTCTGGAAGCCACCACTTTAGCAGTTGCTCCAATGTTGCATCTGTACTCGTTCCCGAGCCTGGAAACATTCCACTGGGGCAGAATAAACAGCCCCAATAATTATGATGCTTCATGTGACAAGACGGCCTAGAATGTAAATCCATTTATGCACTGAAAATACGGTTTCCCATCAGTAATCTAATCATCGTACTTCCCCCGGGTGGCAGTGGAGCCAGGAACCGAAAGAATAATACAGCAGAACGAGTAGTATTACCATTTATTATTATTTAGATGCAGATAATCTAAACAGGCGTTGGCTGAGGAATTCGCCGCAGTCCTTAGAGAGTGGAAGCTTCTCAGGACCAGAAGCACGATTATGCCTAACTAAACACATATGTTCTGACACTTCTAAGGCCGCGCTCTCCACATTCACAGTCTATGTATTTGTTAGAGGCCGAATTATAGCTAGCAGATGGTTAAAGTCGTTTATCGTTCAGCTGTAGCACCCTTTCGGTACCTAACTGCCATGACATCAGAAGAAAGCACGATGGCTGGGATGCTGCCAGGCTGCCCAAGCCCAGATAGGGGAAGTCGAGGCACAGGTCGGGTTCGAACCACGGACCGTCTGGTCAGTAAATTCGCGCTCTAACCACTAAGCTACCTCCCCACCCGATGGCCAACTGAACTGTTGTCCGATCCAAACGTTCTCCTTTGCTAAACATCAGAGAACCATTTTGGTTCCTGATAGTTTCGCTGACCCGAGGACCAATCGGGCAAATCATGTGGAGCAGCCTGCGGAAGTTTGCAGCGTTTTTCGCGCTTTCCATCTATTTGGCCTTTCAGAGCCGCCAAGCTTCATGGTCACCACAAACACCCAGTTTCGCCTGACGTCAGATGATGGGTCGAGTTGGGTTACGATTACGACCAGGAGGAAACTGTAGCCGAGCATCCAGCAAAGCCACGGTCCTATCAGGGATTTAGTGCTTGGGTAAGATTGGCTGGACTGTACCACAGGTAGAAGTTTCGGTTTTGGGTAGCGGTTCGGATATCCGTTTCTATGACCCTTAATATCCGACATAAAACCATCCGACAGGAGTTCGAGGAGCCGGTTCTGAAAGGTTCGTTTGATTTTTGGGTCAAGTAGCTTCTCAATTTTTGGGAAGGTGTGCATGTTTTGCGTAGACCTGAAAGTCGCAAGGAAAAGCAGCAGCTGGTAAATGCACGCCGGTATTCCAGAAGGAAGGATAGGCAATATCCGACCCTCGCCACCACCACAGTGATGTGGTTTATTATAAATCGGGCTGGTTTGCTGGTCAACACTACATCAAATGACTTCCGCTTTTCAGGAAACTGGTACTGCGAGGGAAGTCTGTGATCGGCACACATCTGCGGCTCTCCATTTTCTGTGTGCCTTGTATCCAATCCAAGACCAGCCAACTGAGTCACAGCAATGCTTAGTCAATCTACCGGGGCGTACAGTCCTCGTTCGAAAAAATTGAGTCTCCTTAACAAAATTATCAGTACGGATAGGGTAAAATTATAAGTAATCGGGAGTATTAATCACCTCAAGTAAGTCTGCGCTTGCAAAGTTCTACTGGAGTGTTTGATAATCAATACATCTAAAAGAAGGCCGTATTCCCATTGGATTCTTAGCCATGAGGCAGCTACGCGTTGGTAGGAATTACTAACACGGTCAACGAACAGATGGCAAAGTTCGTCGGAAGGAAAATAAGATACGCTCGGATCAAATGCCTGCGTTGGGGAAAACCGCAATATGGAGAAAAAACATCGCTGAGAGTGCAGCTTAATGGGTCATCACCCATGGTCATCAGGGGCGAGATGACTTAGTGGTTAGAGAGCGAAGTTGCTGACCAGAAGGTCCATGGTTCGAACCCAACCTCTGCCTCTCGACTTCCCCTGTCTAGGCCTGGGCAATGTGGCAGGATACCAGCCCTCGTGCTTTCTTTGGGTGGCACAGAAGTTAGGCACAGTAAAGGTGCTACAGCTGAACAATTTTTACGGCCATCACTTGCTTGCTTATGTGAGACACTCGTCTCGAGGAGATTAGACCTTATCGTGGTACAAAAATATGAAGTAAAAGAGTAATTATTCGGGTGTAATACCCTTTCGGTACTTAGCTGCTGTGCAACCTGAGGTGGTGTCATACCTCAGTAATCCATTATGCTGCGCTGGAGAGTGCTCCTGTAACATCCATAATGTCTTCAACCAAGCTGGTTAATGGACAGAGGTCTGATAAAGTCTCCTGACCCTCCGGATTGGAACAAATTTGGCAATTTGGTTCTTAGAATTTGAGATCACACCAACCGTCACTGCCGTGCAGTCAGGTCTTTGAGCCAAAGGCTTTGGTTGAGGACCCTGATCGTTCTCCTGTCTAAGTTTGAGCGTCCTGGTAATATCTCAGCCGACATGCAACCAAGGACGTTATATATAAAGGTACCTTCATGCCACTTCATGAAGTTTAGCACAAGCATGCATTACCGGTGTATTGCTGTCAATGATGGTGATCATGAGAAACTTTCGAGGTCCTTGGCGTAAGGATGAGTGACAGTAAGAATATCGTTAGTTGATTCACGCTGGGGTGGACAACTGGCACGTACAGTCCACAGACGACGTATTTCATGGACAACTATGTTTACCGTCACTGTTTAGGAAGGCGAAGTCTTGCGAGCCCAGGTCGTGGTTTAGTGAACGGATAGCGAACAGTCTTACGGTTCCGAGCCCAGGTCGTGGTTTAGTGAACGGATCAGGATATTGATCCAAAGCTGTATCAGAGCTGTCACCTGTCTCTTTGTGTCACAGCTCCAGATAACTCATTGGCTAATGCGCGAACTTACTGATCAGAAGGTCCGTGGTTCGGACACAGCCGCAACATCTCCAATATTCCTGTCTAGGCTTAGGTTACCTAACGGTATCCCTGCCCACGTGCTTCCTTCGAATGGCAGGGCGGCTAGGCACCAATTACAGCTGAGCAATTTTTCTTCGGCGTCAGGTCTCCAGGACACCATGACTTTTTCGATTATCTTGCAATCATAGTCGTTCAGCTGTAACGCCCTTTCGGCACTGCCATAACACGGGAAGCAAACACGAGGACTGTGATACTACCACATTGCCCAGGAGTGGTTGAGATGCTGTGGTTGGAGTGGGAAACCACGGACCTTCAGGTCAGAAACTTCGTGCCGAGCTATCTCGATAATCTTGCACAAAACTAGCCTGCAGCGAACCAATGTTATTGCCACGGTGAATGAGACCCCTTTTTAGTGAAAATGCCTGAGGGTGCCATTTATCATCACCACTGACGGCAACACCAGATGAGAATACCGGCGCTTGACTTACAATAATAATCGTTCAGCTGTAGCACCCTTTCGGTGCCGAACTGCCATGTTATCGGAGGGCTGCACAACCATGTGGATTTACTTCAATAAAGCCTAATAATCAGAAGAAACGGAGGGAGGGAAGGAGGCCTAGGACTCAGACAATGTGGATAGAAAGTGACAACATGAACGTGACTGATACCAGCTAGCTGGCATATCGTTCAGTGTCTTCAAAAAACACACGAAGGGTCGCTAGACTCTATCCTGGAAGCTGAGCAGTACTAACCGCACCCAAACTTTTCGTAACATCCTTCGTTTCCTCCTATCATTTCAAATTCTGTTTAACTCTAGGTTTCCGCCACACCAGATTAAGCTTGAGAAAACAGCATGCGCCCTGCTAGCCAATAATCCGGCATGTGTAACACGACCCCGCCCACTTAGTCTGCATTGCTAGATGCATTCTCCGAGGGAAGCGCGCTCTGCTTTGCCAAAAACCCGTCTTCCGATCACCTTAACCGAAATTCGTCGGTTCTAGCCGATTCCAGCTATATTTCTGAGACATGAGTCTGATACACGAGCCCTCTGAGACCCGTTGAGATGCCCTGTTGACTTCACAAATAGCGCAATTCGGCAAACGCAATTCTAACCTAAGAGATTCGCGTCCCACTACCGTCAAAGTTAATGCAGCTTCCAAGATATGTGCGGGACCTCCAGCGCTACTCCTGGAATTATCAAAGGCACGTCCAGGTAAACAAGGACCTCCGCGGAGGGATCTAACATAGGAATTTTAAGGTTTTTCCCAGTGTTAGCTTCATTATATCACGAATAACGGGATTAAACAAAAATGAAGAGTGACATCCTCGACAAACAGCAATTCCTGTAGCAAAACTGTTAGAGAGCTCCCCTCACTCTCACGCCCGCAATTATGTGAATACAAACAGCGCATGGTATTCATGAGCTTCTAGAGAATACTCTATGGTGCAAGCATGTTGAGAACTAACCGGTCGACTACATCACGCGCATTCTTGAAGTCAAGGAACACCGAAACTGCAGGGCGCCTGTACGCATGTCATTGCTCTAACACTTGACGGAGTGTGAAAATGAAATCCACACAGCACTTTCACGGCCGGGATCCTGCTGGTCGTTCTGTACGCATGTCATTGCTCTAACACCTGACGGAGTGTGAAAATGAAATCCACACTGCATTTTCACGGCCGGGATCCTGCTGGTCGTTCTCGGATCCCCTCTGCATGTAACTTCGTAAGACGACGTAAAATGAGCGAGGCAAACGTTTGACGTACAACGGGGTCAAGCTAATTCCTCTGTGATTGCCACTCATAGCGAACACCCTTACAGAAAATGGGTACCATTGTCGACTCAACCCAGTTAGTTGGGACGGTCTCTTCTTCAGAGACAGTCAAATAAGCCGGATGCCGACTATTCCAACTAGATCTTTGGACACCGCAGATGAAGGTTCATCCGGACCAACAACTCGATTATACTTGAGGGACAAAAGGCATTTATTGCCGAAGTCGTGAGTTCCAAGTTCGTTGTCCAGAGACAGCTGCTGCAGGTGGCCAACTGGATTGGTCTCGAACGTGGAGTTCCAAGTTCGTTGTCCAGAGACAAGATACAGGTTGGGAAACCGATTCAGCTGCTGCAGGTGGCCAACTGGATTGGTCTCGAAAGTGTTCAGCGCAACGGACCTTTTCTTTTTTGCAGATAAGCCGGCCTTAACTGTTTCGCTCATCGGAGGCTTCATTGGGTCTGTTGCGCGTAACAGCAGGAACAGTTTACATAAATTCGCTGTTTCTCGCCTATATCTGCTCAGCTTTCTGGATTCATTAAGCCTCTCGATATACGCAGAGGCTTTTTTCCTCTTAAGTCTGATAGTTCGTCAAGTGGTACTGTACGCTCGACCAGGAGAGATACGTGTCCGAGCTTAGAGCAAGTTTAGGGTATTACTCGGGATCCAGTGTCCAGGTCTGGTTGGTTCAACCATTCCATAAGCGGGAGGCCCAGCGTTTTGCAGGATCACGGACAGTACCTTAAAGAAAGGGTCAACATCAGAAGGGGTCTTGTCCGATTTAACTTCAGTATGTTTCACATCAAGATCTGAGAGCTCTTAAATGGCCAAACGAGGTGTGAACATCGTGTGTGCCCTTGAAAAACCCAACGAATAAGCGCCATCTATAGCTAATGGCGATGTTGTCTATATGTGTCGTGGGTTGCGCATTCATCCCCGGCCACCAGAACAATAGCCAAGCTCTTAGCTCACCGCAAAAGGGTAATCCAAGCGCCATAAAAACCACCTTTGAGTGTATCAGAGCTAAAATCTGTTGAAGCGTAAATAGATACAATGAACAGGCGATTAGCACAAAGTTTACGGGAAACTCCCGGGCGTTGCAAAACGAAACGCACAGAAGCAAACATCAGCGGAAAACCAATCAACCGGACCCTTCAGCTCGACGGCCTACAACAACAACTACCCCAGCCAAACCGTCTGTAACTGCTTCTGGATCACCAGAGATGCGGAACCAAAATCAAGCGGAACATGACGAGGGGGTCAGTTCAACAACCATACATGTTTTCAAACCTACATTCAGACAGGTAGGACACATTAGCAAAAAGGCGACTCCAGGCTGAATTAGTGAGCACCCGGTTATTTAAAATTTTACAGAGCGAAAACGTGAAAGGCTTTCAAGTGGACTAAGTGATCGGGTTGGTTGGCCGAGACAAATATATGTACTACAGTTGGCTGCAACGAGTAGCGGAAGAATTTGTCAGTCCTTAAGAATGGTCCTACTGAGATCTCACTAGAAATGAAGTGTGTGAGAGAGAAGAGCGAATGTGGAAGAGGAATAAGGTAAGCGTCAACAATGGCCTGTTTCCGCTTACTTGCCTTGCTGTAAGTAGCAGGCAAGGCTGATGGCACCACGTGATAGCCAATGCGGCATAAGGTCATTTGTGGGTTTGGTGGGGTTCATGGTTGTATGGGGGCTCGTACACAGCCAGAGCGCCCATGCCTAGATGTGGGGCTGTTGGGGCCTGCAACAGAGCATTTCGCTCAAAACCTTAACGGTAAACCGGCGGCAGTCAGAGAAGTCGAGGGTTTTAAGAAGCAGGTTGCCACAGACATACCAATTCTCAACCTGGAGGATCAGGACCACTGACCATTAGCTTGGTTACGTCTGACTGTAATTTTTATATCTACGAGGCAGCACTGTTGGCTGCTTTACGTGGCGGGACATCATCCCAGGGTTGCAGTCTACTTCGAACTCTACTCTAGGTGTTAGTTATTCTTGCTGCCTGCTAAATGGAGTCAGTGATGATATACCATGGATTTAGACGGTGACCCGGAGGCTCTGGACATCCACTAGGCTTCACTGATTTGATCGAGCCATGGTAGTTGCTCTGTGAAAGAAAGTCCGTACTAGGCTACCCGGTGAGCAGCAAGTCCATGGATTTTGATTTGAGGAGTCGGCGAATCAGCTGCGTTCCCGAAGGTATTGCGATGGTTTACGACGGTCAATCGGATTGGGGAAACGAGCCTCTGAGACGGTGAAACTCGGTGACTTGGAGTGTACCGCGTGAACACCGTAAATACTCTGGTATCATGTTACCTTAACTTCAATCGTGAAAGTTAAATTGTTAAAAAGCTAGTAACACGACCCAACCCTGCAATGAATGCAGAGTGATAAGGATGGCAGGGGATCTCCTGTGTTGTAAACAATTCAGTGATATCATCGAATCAAGTTTCCAAGCACTATGAAGCCAACTAGGATCACAAAATTTACCTGCTGGTAATTCTCCTTGTACGGTCTCTGATCTTGCCAATGCTTACGAAAATCTTCCACCTTGTACTTATAATAATCGTAATATTCACCTCCTTGAAGGAAAGCGAATTTTGGATTTTCACGCTGCTTCTCTTTAGTGAGTGATTCGAAGTCTTGACCGTTTCGAGCGACAAATTCAGCCAGCTTATCTATGATATTCCTCTGTTCTAGATCGCTGGGGGGAGCAGGAGCGGCCATCTGGAGGGTATAGTTGAACCCCGGGGGACTGATTCCAGAAGGGGGTTATTCGCAAAACGAAACACCCTATATGTTTAAACAACTTAAGGTCACAGACTCGGATTCATGGGACTTAGCCGGTCCAATACACGGATTCATGGATTGATAGTCAGGTTCGAGGCCTTCACCCAAGTTTCCCGGGTCTGGTTTGCCCCTGCCGCTCAGCGGACTCCGTTCACCTGAGAGGCACGAGCGAAAATGGGTATAGCGCTTCTCTTTATGTCCTCAGCGCTGGGCGGTATGCACGCCAGCACGAGGCCCCACATGAATAGGTATATAAAAAAAGCTTTGACTGGGTATTAGGTGCAGCGTGAAAGACTGTGAAGGGAGCTTATTCCACGCAACAACTACCCGAAACTCGAAAAATTGTTTTTTATA